TCATCATCAAAATCGATAATTAGACTTTCTAAAAAAAAAAAAAAGACTCTGAGAGATGAATCTCTTTTTACTGACCAGGAAAGACAACCCAGATAATCTTTTTGACAGACACAGGCAGGATGGATAGAGTGGGATCTATGGAAAGGGTTAGCAGGATCGTTTTCGAAGCTCTGTTGAGTGAATCGGTCGACTCTATCAGCCGAGTTAGGGAATGGGAGTGTGTCGCTGGTGACCAGGTTGAAGTCTGCGGGGTTCCCATTCCTGTGCTCCTCCCCCTCTTCCTGCTGCTCCTGCTCCTGCTCCTCCTCCTGTTGGTCATCCATCCAGCTTCGGAATGATTTCGGCAAGATCACGGCCGCCCTGACGCTGATCAGTTTCCCACAGCCATTCAGTTGGTATTTATTTCCGCAGTAGAGCAGGTATGTTCGCTGGTTGTTGATCTTGGGGTGATGAGGACTGATCTCGGTCGAATATGAGTCAGCCTGATGATCAGCGGTTGGGTTGTTGTTGGTATTGCTTGCTGTGGCTGTTGCTGTTGGTCGCAGCTCGGCCATTCGTTGACGTAATCGGTTGACTGCCTGCAATCTTCCTACGCCAGATTGGACGTCCTGATTCATCCTTTCGAAGAAGGTGTGTCGCCAGTTGTGAGTACTTCGACCATCGGTAGAGCTACCTGCTGTGAGATTGGTGTCAGCTAGGTTATTAGCTGCTGACGAAGCCACTGCTAGTAATCTTCTGGTCAGACTGGCTGAGATCGGCGTAATTGGTGGTGCTGGTAGTTGCTGTTCTGCTGTTGGTAGTCGCAAGGATTGGTGATGGTTTCTGAGTTGAGTTCTTCGGAGTCTCGATCGATAACCAGTCTCGAGCGAGCTGAGTAAGTCTAATTGTTCCATGTTCGTATTGAATAATAATTGACGGTTGGTGTAATGATTGGGCTTGATTGCTGTGTCTTCATGGTGCTTTGATAAGGAAGACTATGCACGTAATTGCTGATGTCAGCAATGCTCTCTTTTTTTCACCTTCAAGAGCATTACCGGCCGCACCCCTGCAAACAACACAAGAAGATCAAGATGAGCACTCAAGTCTCGATCTCAGGACTAGTGCAAGTGGAACTGTACCAGAGTCTACTCAACCGACTAGCAAATCACACTCACTCATTCTCCCACTTCAACTCACGTGAAATCGGATTCGATCGAGGTCAGTACACCAAAATAAAACAGCCTAGCATACAATCACTAACTTGAAATTGATATACTATGCTCACATAAGGCCCACTCGAAACCATAAGCGAAGACTCAAATCTACTCACACTGAAGCATACCATCCGAACACCTGGAATAATCGAGAATGACTCTCCAATCAACTACAAAAACCCAATCAGGAATGGCTGGTCAGTAGCCAATCAAAAAAAGATATATATACTTATTGAAAGATGATGGAGAACTTATACTCATATGATTAACAGGTCTCTCATCTCTCTCGGCAGAATCGAGCCTGAAAGGTTATCTCCCGAGTTCTCCATCCGTCCGATTCACTTCTGCCCGATCATCGCCGGGAACCCGATCGAATTCGTGAGCGCCTTAGGATATCGGTACATCAAGTCCAGACTCAAAGTCATAATCACTGTCACAAGAGAGGGTGTCTGAACTTCTATGATTCCGAATCTTAGACGAACGTTTGAGTATTTCAAGCGGGGTGTTCAATTCGTACGAGGGGGAGTGATCATCGAGATCTTTCGGGTCTATCACGTCAGCAATCACCTTTGTTCTTGAGAGAATATAATGTGTCCGAATCAGCACGCTGATAGTCCCTTTTTTCGGTCAATTGGTTTTCAGAGCGAGGATGATGAGAAGCCGATGGCTGGAGCCGACCTGCATCTGATCACCGTCACAGCCATCATCCCATCCGCCGTCCGGGTAAGTAACCCCACCAATCCCACCGGAACAGCCGCTGGAACCACTGGAACAACAACCACTGGAACCACTGGAACAACAACAACAACAACAAACACAACCAACCCAACAGCAGCAGCAGCAACAACAACAACAACAACAACGACAACGACTTCTTCTTCTTCTGCCAACTCAGGGCCAACCGTCCAAGAGCTCAGAAACGAAGCTTGTGCTCGAGTTCGTGAGATCCAGGCAATCCTCAAAGGACTCGCCGATCTCGGAAGGGTCGAGCCTTTTTAAGCACTTCTATTCAACGCACTTGACTTGGTTGAGCAGTGGAGATATATGATTTACTTGAATCAGTTGGTTAAAAGATTGTTTGAATTGATGGTATCTATGCACCAATCACACATAAATATGTGTGTGTAAAACGTAATGAACATGCATTTGATTTAGCAAAGATTGCCTCCACATGAGCCACGAGCTGGGCAATAAGAGATTGCTTCCTTGTAAACCGGCTGATCAAGTCAATCAGAAGGGTGTGGGATGATGATGAGCTTGGTAGAAACTGCTATTCTTGAGGTGTGTGTAGCAAGTGGATAGAATCAGTTCAGCAGGCTCATGCCACGATCAGTTCTACAAACTGATAGATTGAGATCTTTCTGCTTCTTCTCCTTCTCCCATTGATCCTACTTAGCAACACATGCACAACGTGCCATGAAGATCCCTGTCATCTGGGTTGCTCTCCAGCAACGCTGTAACAGATACAATACACTGTGTGTATCATGGAGAATTCTGCAAAGCTGCATGGCCAAATAATGGAACTCGACATGTAATAATGTGTTATTTCGTTAGGGAGAGAGAGGGAGAATGACTCGGAGGGGACTTCCGAGTCATCTCCAGGTGCCGTGCTGCGGCGAGTCAGAGGCGTGTAACCCCCAGGTTACAACACCCCCCCTCTCGCCGCAGACGCCCCACTACGTACAATGGTAGCTCCACAACTAAGAGGATATAGAAGAAGGAAAAAAAAAAAAAACCAAAAAAAAGAAATGTAAGGCACACTGGAAATAGAAAAATTTAAAGTAAAAATAAAAAATAAAAAATAAAATCCACGCTGGAAGAAAAAAAATTATCCCATAATCTTAACCCGCAGACCATGGAAAAGGTCTGGCAATAAACATTTTGTGAACACATCAGCTATCTGGTCTTTTGTCCCAACCCAAGAGAGTGTGGTCTTTTTCTGAAATAGAGCCTCATTAGTAATATAGAAGTCCCTGTCTGAGTGTCTAGTCCGCTTATTAGAAGCATCATCCGTAGCCACTCGAACAGTTGACTGATTGTCACAATGCAGATGACCAACAAAGTCTAACTTCAAAACATCCTTGAGTAAGTGCCGTACCCATAGAGTTTGTCTGGTGGCCACTCCCAGAGCCATGTATTCCGCATGGCACGTTGAAGATGCCACTGATTGTTGTCGCCTAGCTACCCAAAGAACAGGGCAATTGAAAACTGTAATGAAAGCACCGTAAGCAGATCTCGAAAACTCCCCTCCCCATGATGCGTCGCAGTATGTCTTCAGTGGTTTGCTGTCAATTGTTGGGAAAATTGACAGTTTCAGATCCCTTGTCCCCGCAATGTAATTGATAAGATGTCGGAGATCCTTCCAATGAACCTCCCCAGGCTTCGCCGCAAAACGTGCAAGGAGATTCACAGCATGACATATATCCGGCCTGGTCCCCACCGCAAGATAGCTGAGTGAACCTATCACAGATAGAATCTTTCCTGTCATATTTGGATCTCCATCCGGATCAGTAACAGCATTGAAGTTAGTAGGCAGAGGTGTTTTGGCAGTCGATACACCATCCCATTCTGCCTCTAAAATTCCGTTGATCAACTCCCTCTGGTAGAGTTCAAAACCCTTATCAGTACGGACTACATTCAAACCTACAATTGAGTCAAGCAATGAAGACCACTTGATTTTCAGGATGTCCTTCAGGTCCGTTTCCAATTTCTTGAGTAGAGCTTCATTTGATGCCGTTACAACCCCGTCGTCCACATGGAGCCAGATCACACCATGGTTGTTTGGATGTCGCAGGATGCAGAGACTGTTATCATACTGTGATGGGATATAACCTAGCTTGTTGAGTACATCTCTCAGATGAAGCCACCAGCATCTTGCGGCCTGTCGGGTTCCGTAGAGAGCTTTCTGGAGGAGCAGGGCGTGGCCAGGCGGTACCTCGAGTCCTTCAGGTGGTTTAACCCATACTTCTTCGTCTATTGGTGAGTTGAGGTAAGCCGCTACAAAATCAAAACTGTGGACTGGCCACTTGTTAGCGGCTGCTATGCTCAGCAGTACATGGAGTGCCACAAAAGTAGCTGTTGGTGCAAAAGTTTCATTGAAATCCACTCCAGATACCTGCGTGAAACCCTTAGCTACAAAATGCGCCTTGAACCGGATTCCAGTGCCATCAACATCCGGTTTAGTGGCAAAAACCCATTGGTCATTCAGTGCCTTCTTGTCCGTAGGCATCAGTCGGACAAGCCATACTCTCATCTGTTCTAAGTTGTTGAGCTCCACGGAGATTGCCTTGGACCACGTGTTTTTCTCGGGTGAATTCATTGCCTGTTTGAAAGTCTTAGGAACAGAAATAGCATAAAACTGACAAAGTTCTAGGATCTTGTCAACTATCAGCTCTTGGTCATGGAATTCAATTTCTCTGGTAAAATCCCCAAGCTGCATCATATTCATAAAAAAATCCACACTCAAACGGGGAGCCTTGCCCACTAGACCAGGGTCGATATGATTTTCCTCCTTGGGCGGTATTTGAGTGTTGTTATCAAGATCATCACCTACCTTTCCAATCTTAGCAAAATGTGAATGTTCTGTGTCAACAAAAGTTACCAGTGCCGAGTTCACAAAACGGTTTTCTGCCGGGATCCAGAACATCCATCCCTTGCTTGTCTCCAGATGGGCCACAACTTGTCCTTGAAGAGCCCTCGTATTGAGCTTCAGTTGGTTTTCCACTGGTATGTGCACATACAAATAACTCCCGAAAGCCCTAAAACGGTCAAAATGTGGTTTGATTTGAAAGAGAGCTTCATAAGGTGTGATTTTCCCACTAGCTTTGTTGGGCAGTCAATTCAGGATATGTCCTGCCCATTGAAAAGCATAGCACCAAAAGGTCTTAGGAAGAGAGCTGTCAATTAACACAGTCCAGCCCATAGCCTGAACAGTCCGATTGAATCTTTCAATCATCCCATTTTGATAGTGGTGATATGGCAGTGCCCTTTCCGTCCCTATTCCCTTGGATGTGAGGAACTCCCCAAGCGCCTTGTTAATAAATTCACCGCCATTGTCGCTTCGCAGTAGTAGGACCTTATTTGAAGTGATCTGCTCAAGACGTGTGATCGTGTCCATGATGACTTTGTTTGAATCTGATTTGGCCTTGATTGGTTTCACAAAACAGTAGCCTGCCGCCGCATCCCTGAGTGTAAGCAGATATTTGCTGCCATCAACTGCCTCCACCTGGAAAGGTCCAATAAGATCCACCGCCAAGATTTCCATTCGCTTGATGTCCCTTTTTGTTGAGTTGAGAGTGTTCAGAGCTGTACTTTTGCTGATTGCACAAACCGGGAAGTGGATAGATCCATGTGGCAGTGATTTTGGCAAACCTTCCCCAAGATTTTCTTTGATCAGTTTCCTTAGGACACGTAGCCCTGCATGACCAAAGACTCGATGCCAAAATAAAAGCTGTTTCTCGTCTTTCAAGAGAGTCTCAGGTCTCCATTGGAAATCATCAATTTGTGCAATAGGTGCTTTGAAAAAATTTTCATTACTGAACTTTGTGGTTGCAGCATTCATCATAGGAGAAGCAGTCACATTTGATGTTAAAGGTGTTGGCATATCCGCCCAGGAGACATTAGAAGCATGAGAGGAGGAAGAGAAAACATGAGACGGAGAAGCAAGAGGAATTGGATGGGCAGGAGAGTGAGGTTCTTGAGGAGTGGAAGAAAGGAAAGCTGAAAAATTTTCACACAAAGTCTGTGCATTGCTGTGGTATACCTTAAGGGTAGCCATCTGGCCCATTTATAAATTTTACAGTTTTTTCTTTTATTACAAATTACATACTTTTTACACCTTTTTTCTCATATATACACTCACAGATCAACCATTATGGCTCAAGAACTGGATTCTATGGTCAATTTCACCCTTGGTCACCACTGGAGGCATCACTGGAACTCAACTGGATTGGAAGCTACACCCTCTGGACCATCACTACACTACACAACTCACCACCATGACAACACTTCAACACTCAACACCAACAACAAATTACATCTTTCACACTACACACATGCACTTTGCAGGACAAATACATACTCACATCATTATAGTACAGGTATACAAAACTACACTATCTTCTGACACTTGACATATGTAGCTTTTAGGCTGGTCCTGTTGCTATGTCATTTGTTAATCTTCCTTGCAGCTGGCAGACTATCTCACACCACTCATGTAATACTCATCACCTCACCTTAGCTTGCAGACTAGTACATCACCTCATGTAAAATGCTACACCAGCATGAAAACCTCATGTAGACTTCTAGTTCAAACTAAAATAACTCTTATGACATCATGTAGGTTGCTCAACCAGCCAAAATACCTCATGTACATGTTCTGACTAGCTAAATCCCCTCATTGTAAAGCTCTGGCCAGCTAAAATCTCTCATTCTCTTGTTCCCCTGAAGCTAAACTCCCTCACCTTTGTGTATTTAAGAGGCTCTCCTCTCAATTGTGTTCCCCTCAGTTTAGTATCCACCTATTTCATACCCCCTACCCTTACAAACCCTTACATACCATTACATACCATCCCCTTACCATTGAAATATCAGCTAGACTCACCCTCTCACTCTCAAATCAACCTTTTAAACCCTTATAAACTGGGTTAAACCCTTTGTCCACCTGTTAAGCCACAGTTATCTTTTGATACACTCCACTATCACTTT